AAATTTTCAAGCATTTTTACCCAACAAATAAAGATTTATTGACATTCATAGGAAAAAAACTAAAAAAAAAGGTGGGTAAGTTTATGTCGCTCTGCTGTACAGTAGGTTACAAGTGGGTCACGGTATAATGGATGCTTTTAAATTTGAATTCAATGATACAATATCATTGTATAAGAAAAACGATTCTGAGCGAAGACGGTATGTCAGTCTAGGTTTAAGACAAATTATATACATATCTATGGTATTAAAAAAAAAATTGACCTATAATAAATTCCAAATTAATCATATCACATTATCACAATATCCATTAGGTACTTATAACACATTATACATCAACATCAATAACAAACCCTGATACTATCATTGATATATAATAGTACACTTTAGAAGTTTCAAGTAGGTACCCACGAATAATATTATATAATCACAACAAAATAACTAGGTTTTTAATATGTAATTTCGTCCAAATTTGAACATAAAATGACTATAAAAATAAACTGTGATTGTATATTTTTTAGATTTTTCGGTAAGAGAATTAACTATTTACGTGGAATCTTGTTTTAAATTTTCAATCCTTAGCTATAAAAACTGAACATTTATAATTTATTAATTACGATGATTAATAATTTTCGAGATTTTGAAAAATTCTGTCAAAATTCGATGTTTAAATGCTTATAAAAAAAAATTGTGCCTATGTATTTTTAATATTTTTCAACTGATATTGTATTAAATTTTTACACTTTTTGCCCCAACAGATAAAACTTTATTGATATTCATAGAAAAAAAAACTAAAAAAATTGAAAAATGAAAATGTCCGTAAACAGCTCAAAAAGAGTCAAAATATTTTCAAAATCGTATGGTGTATAGGAAATGCTAATATAAACATTCAGTGAAATTTTCATGTATCTACAGTTATTCGTTTTTGAATTGCAACAAAATAAGGAAATCGCTACATGAGAAATCGAGTGAATAACCAATGTTGTAAAAATTTGAATTTCAAACGCTCATAAAAATTTAATTTGACATTCCGGTAGAGATTTTTTTATTGATAAAGGTAGATAATCTTATAATGAATCTTGTGTTTCATTTTCAAATCTTAGATTCTAAAAGAAAAATTTTTACGAATTCTTAACTCAAAATAATTTGCTAATTTTTGTGATTTTTCCATATTTTGTCAATTTTAGATTCTGAGTGAAACGATGAATGTATTGATTTTACAATGATGTGTGTTTTTTTTTTATTTTTTTTTTTTATTTTTTTTTTATTTTTTTTGTGTCTGTGTACACGATAAGTAGTCGAAATAATGCTTCGATTTTCGACTTCAGTATCTTGTTCGATTGGAAAGTGAATATCGTTGGTGCATTGGGGAGGTCAAAATTTAAATTTCCCAGTAGTTTTCAAGAGCGCCGGGAAAAACAACATAAAAATTAAGGAAAAACGGGAATTTTTACGCAAAATCGGTTTTCCAAAAAATCGATTCTGGTTTTTGGTGTAACTTTAAAACAAATGACCGTAGATACATGAAATTTTCACTGGTTGTTTATATTTGCATCTTCTATACACGATAACATTTTCAAAATATTTTGATTTATTTTGAACAGTTTAGGGACATTTTCATTTTTCGTTTTTTTTTAGTTTTTTTTCTAGAAATATCAATAAAATTTTATTTGTTGGTTGCGAAAGCTTGAAAATTTTATAGAAGGCTCCTAATATATTGTTTCAAAGGCAGATGAAAAATATTAAAAATCCTTAGTCACAATTTTTTTTTATAAGCATTTAAAGTTCAAAAATTGACAAAATATGGAAAAATCACGAAAATTAGCAAATTATTTTGAGTTAAGAATTTGTAAAAATTTTTCTTTTTAAATCTAAGATTTGAAAATCTAATACAAGATTACTCATAAGATTGTCTACCTTTATCAATAAAAAAATCTCTACTGGAAAGTCAAATTAAATTTTTATGAGCGTTTGAAATTCAAATTTTTACAACATTGGATATTCACTCGATTTCTCATGTGGCAATTTCCTTTTTTTGTTGTAATTAAAAAACGAATTACTGTAGATACATGAAAATTTCACTGAATGTTTATATTAGCGTTTCCTATACACCATACAATTTTGAAAATATTTTGACTCTGTTTGAGCCGTTTACGGACATTTTCAGTTTTCAATTTTTTTAGTTTTTTTTTTCTATAAATATCAATTAAATTTTATCTGTTGGGCCAAAAAGTGTAAAAATTTAATACAAGGCTCTTGATATATTGTTACAATATCAGTTGAAAAATATTAAAAATACATAGGCACAATTTTTTTTTATAAGCATTTTAAAATCGAATTTTGACAGAATTTTTCAAAATCTCGAAAATTATTAATCATCGTAATTAATAAATTATAAAACGTTCAGTTTTTATAGCTAAGGATTGAAAATTTAAAACAAGATTCTACGTAAGTAGTTAATTCTCTTACCGAAAAATCTAAAAAATATACAATCACAGTTTATTTTTATAGTCATTTTATGTTCAAATTTGGACGAAATTTCATATTAAAAAACCTAGTTATTTTGTTGTGATTATATAATATTATTCGTGGGTACGGGGTACCTACTTGAAACTTCTAAAGTGTATTATTATATATCTATGATAGTATCAGGGTTTGTTATTGATGTTGATGTATAACGTGTTATAAGTACTTAATGGATATTGTGATAATGTGATATGATTAATTTGGAATTTATTAAAGGTAAATTTTTTTTTAATACCATAGATATGTATATAATTTGTCTTAAACCTAGACTGACATACCGTCTTCGCTCAGAATCGTTTTTCTTATACAATGATATTGAATCATTGAATTCAAATTTAATAGCATCCATTATACAGTGACCCACTTGTGACCTACTGTACAGCAGAGCGACATCCACTTACCCACCTTTTTGAACTTTAAATGCTTATAAAAAAAAATTGTGACTAAGGATTTTTAATATTTTTCATCTGCCTTTGAAACAATATATTAGGAGCCTTCTATTAAATTTTCAAGCTTTCGCAACCAACAAATAAAATTTTATTGATATTTCTAGAAAAAAACTAAAAAAAATGAAAAATGAAAATGTCCCTAAACTGTTCAAAATAAATCAAAATATTTTGAAAATGGTATCGTGTATAGAAGATGCAAATATAAACAACCAGTGGAAATTGCATGTACCTACGGTCATTTGTTTTAAAGTAACACCAAAAACCAAATTCAATTTTCTGAAAAATCGATTTTGCGTAAAAATTCCCGTTTTTCCTTAATTTTCTTTTGTTTTTCTTGGCGCTTTTGAAAAGTACTGGGAATTTTAAATTTTGACCTCCCCAATGCACCAACGATATTCACTTTCCAATCGAACAAGATACTGAAGTCGAAAATCGAAGCATTATTTCGACTACTTATCGTGTACACAGATACAAAAAAAATAAAAAAAAAAACACACATCATTGTAAAATCAATACATTCATCGTTTCACTCAGAATCTAAAAAATAGAAACTTACAATGCCCGTAAACAGCTCAAAAAGAGTCAAAATATTTTCAAAATTTGATGGTGTATAGGAAATGAAAATATAAACATTCAGTCAAATTTTCATGTATCTATATTTTATGTTATTCATTTTTGAATTACAACTAAATAACAAAATCTCTACATGAGAAATCGAGGGAATAACCAATCTTATCGTAAAAATATAAACTTCAGATGCTCGTAAAAATTTAATTTGATTTGCTTGTAGACATTTTTTTTTTGATAAAAAGGAATCTTGTATTACACTTTCAAATCTTAAAAGCAAATCTTGATTATAAAATCAATGGTTTTACCAAAAAATGAATAAATATTATTTGGATAAGCCGGGTGAAAAAACCATAATAATATACACAGTATACAGTTGATAGATTGAGTCGATAATTTCGGAAATAATGACCCTAAATTAACATAAGTGCTTACATACTAAGTTAGGTACTTTATTTGTCTTCTGTTCTACTGTATATTGTATATTAATATTATATTCCGTATTACCAGTGTTGGGCAAATTACGTTACTTGTTACAATAAATATTTTTATTTAAATTACATTCACGTTACCCGACATTATTTTTATCACTTGACTTTACTTTTTTTTATTCAAAAAGTAGTTACAAAAAAGTTTTAAAAAAAAAAAAAAATTATTTCAGTAGGTAGATATAGTAAGTAAATTAATAAATAATTATCAAACAAAATTGTTCTCAATTTTATATCACGGAAAATTACTATCAACGATGAACTATGGTTTCCATTAATTTTGTTTATGTTTTTGAGCATTTTAGATTACCGATTTTACTATTTAAGTATATAAAAAAGTAGTTTTAATCAAAAATTATTTAGTTTTTATAAATTAGGTATTTCAGTTAAAAGTTTTAATGCATATTGTGCTAAACTTTAGAGGACCATAATTAATCACCTAGCTAACCAAAATTGATCATTCGACTGTCAAAATGTTAAGAAAAAAGCGTTACCTACCAGAATCCATCAAAAAAATATTGTGGATACCATTTGAAAAGAATAAAGTCAATTTTACTGTTGGTACAACTGCGTGTTTAAAAATTTTGAAAATGTTATAAAAAAATTGCCTGTTAAAAATAAAGAAACACTTATTTTTTTTTCAATGAATTCCATGTCGTCGATCCATAACTATTGTTAGAAAAAACCCGCGTACAATGCCATAAGATACATGCTGTATATTTTTGTACAGGAAAAAATTGTATCAATCTAAGGTTTTTCGTATAAGAGAACTAGGTGATATAGCCGTGAAAATACAGTAATTATGTTTTTTTTGATTTTGCATTTTTGTACATACCTACTTTATTAATTAATGAATAATGATATTCAATTTTGTATATTATCTGATATTAATCAGGTTAATTCAATTGTAACATTAAATATTACTGATTTAAATTCAATAAATATAGGCAATAATAAATTGTCCATATTTGCTATGAATATAAGTAGTATTAAGTGCCATTTTGATGAATTGTTGGTATTATTGAGTACTTCAGTGGTAAATTTTGATATTGTTGTTTTATATGAAACTTGGCTTTTAAATGATGTAAATTTTATTATTAATGGCTATCAATCTTTTAATTCTCTTGATGTAAACAATAAGTCTGATGGTGTTACTCTTTTTATTAAGAATAGTTATCAAGTTAAAAATGTTTGTACTAACCTAATGTCTAATGTTAATTATTCAATTGAAGTAAATTTTGATATTAATGGCATAGAGTATACTGTAACTGGGTGTTATAGATCCCCTTCAGATAATATTGATGCTTTTTTATCTTCTTTATATAGTTAATTGACACTAAGTTCTGAGTTTAAAAATCATATTATTTGTGGTGATTTTAATATTGATATCTTAAAGAGTAATAATCTAAAAGTAATTGAATATTTAAATATTTTTTCTGGTTTTGGTTTTTATTCTTACATTAATAATGTAACTAGACAAACTAATAGGTACTTCTGCTTCGTGCATAGATCATTTCTTTGTAAAAAGAATTTTACCAGTTAATATTCATTCTTATGTTTATCCTTCTTCAATAACTGATCATTTTAGTATAATCTTAACATTTAACTTAAATGTTAATCATTTACAACATAGTAAATGTAATAATACTAATAATGCTTTATCAGTTATTGATTTTGATAAATTAAATTTAAGTATTAATAACTTTAATTGGGATATTATATTAAGTAGTAATGACATTGATGTTGATGTTACCAATTTTATGAACAAGATTGACTTATGTATAGCTAATTCTACTAAAAAAATTTCTAGAAAATTTAATTCTTATAACTACAAACTTAAACCATGGATAACAAAAGGAATCATTGTTTCTATCAGACACAGAGAAAAAATGTATGGTCAAAAAATTAAAAATCCAAATAATATTACATTAATTTCTAAGTATAATAAATTTAGAAATTTACTTAATACCTACTTTGATTAAGAAAGCCCAAAGTATGTATTATCATAATAAAATATATAATAATAAAGGCAATGTCAAAAAACTTTGGGAAACAATTAAATATGTAACTAATAACTCATCAAATAATTCCAAAAATACAGTACATTCTTTAATAAACAATGAAGGTATAAAGATATCTGATAATAAAATTATTCCTAACATTTTTAATGATTTCTTTTCCTCGGTAGGGATGAATATCTATGATAATATATTAAATAAAATTATTTTAAAGATAATTTTCATGACTTAAATAAGGGGTGCTATATCTATGAAAGTATATTTTTTACTCCTCTCACTCATGATGAGATTATAAAGTTTATACAAAAGATTAAAGATCATAGTTTTTTTTTATGAGGGTAACTTATCAAATAAGGTTTTAAAAATGACTTCTACATATATTTCTAAACCTTTAGAAATTATATTTAATAAAATAGTTGAGTTAGGTATATTTCCTCTGGGCCTTCAAAAAAGCAGTGGTTATCCCAATATTTAAATCTGGTGATAAAGGCTTACCTGAAAACTATAGACCAATTTCTCTAACCCTATCAATTTCAAAAATATTAGAAAAATGTATTAAAGTCAGACTGGTCAACTTTTTAAATAAATATACATTTTTTTCGGCTAGGCAATTTGGTTTTAGGGAGGGAATGTCCACTAATGACGCTTTATTTCATATTGCTAATTACATAATATATGATAACATTGATAAAAGTAATTATGTAATAGGTGTTTTTCTTGATATAAAAAAGGCATTTGACACTGTAAGTTTAGATCTATTAATTAGAAAGTTACACTATGCTGGGATAAGAGGTAATATTTTAAAATTAATTAAGTCATACCTAAACGATAGAACTCAAATAGTCAGGGTTAATATTGAATATAGTAATGTAAGTAATATTTCAATTGGTGTTCCACAGGGTTCTGTTGTAGACCCTTTACTCAGTGGCGTGCCCAGGATATTTCAATGGGGGGGGATATATGTTATACATTTTTTAGTAAAAGTACATTTAAATTAATCATGGTTATCCAAACACAAAAATTGCCAAACATATGTACATTCATACATATCGAGTATCGTTCTACAATTAGAATTAATTTAAATAGCCACACACTATACACTATTGCTTAAATAAAATGACAACATTAAACTAAAAACATTTATAACCTTTATTAAAATAATTAATATACAAAAGAAAAATAATTCTTAAAAACAACTTAATTATTCCAAACGAAAATTTAACCGCCCGTCTGTATAGTGAATGTTTATATTAGCCAATGGGCAATAATTTATAAGCAATAACTTATTACTGATAATTTTAAAAGAAATATCCATATCCAATTATATAATATATAATAAACATTTGTATATTTCTATGGTAATATCTAATAAGTTGAAGTCAACAAAAAAAAGCCAATGGGGGGGATATAACCCCTAACCCCCCCTCCTTGGGCACGCCACTGCCTTTACTGTTTAATATATATGTGTTAATGGCCTTCTTAATGTTTCTATAAAAGGTGATATTTATAGTTTTGCTAGTTATGCTTTTTAATAATAAAAGTATCAAAGTCCTATTTGATGAAGGTAATCTCTCATTAGATAGTGTTCAGAATTGGTATGATAATAATTTTTTAGAGTTAAATCTTAAAAAGTCTAATTATATATTATTTAATCTTAGACCTAATTCAATTAACTTGAATAATCTTGTCATTTGTCCGCATTCCTTAAATTGTAAAAACAAAATTGTACCCTGTAATATTGTCAACATATTCAAAGGGTAAATCATATTAAATATTTAGGGTTAATATTTGATGATTAACTTAAATTGAATTTCCATATAGATGAATTGGTTAATACCATTAGGAATTTATTTTATAATTTTAAAAGTTTAAAATATGTTTTAGATTTTAAACATTTGAGAGTTATATATATGTCATTAGTTCAGTCCTTAGTTTACTATGGATTGCCCTTTTGGGGTGGTACTTATAAAGATTAATTGACACCTTTAAATACTACTAGGTATCAATAGTTTAATAAAATTTATTATCTCAAAGCCTGTTTTGTATCGAACAAAACAGTTATATATTGATTTTAATGTACAATCTATATCAATATTATATTATAAATCTTTGCTTTTACTTATATATAAATATAGACATTGTTTGAAAACCATAGAGCATAATTATAATACTAGAAATAAGTGTCATTCTAATCTTAATTCTATTATATTTTATAAGACAGTAACTTCTCAGAGTACTATTTACAAATGCACATTGTTGTGTCGTAAATTAAATTTAAATCTTATGCATTTTAATAATATTAACTCTTTAAAATTATATATTAAGCTAAACCAGTTTGATGATGTTACACTTAATTATGAATTGTAATTTTGTATATATTTTCTTTTTTTATTTTCTCATTATTTCTACTTTTGTTTAATTAGATTTCATACTGTTATATACCTATTTAATTAATTGTTAATATTTAATACTATAAGAAACTCTCACTTCTTAGCACAAGCTTTTAGCTTTTTAGAAGTGAGTCAATATATTATCTTAACTTTATTGTATTATAATTTATATTATATTGTTATAATCTGTAGAATTTTGTATACAATTTTCTAATTATTGTGACTGTTACCATGTGCTCTGAGTGTATGGCGCAGTGGCGTCATTTCAGTTTTTATTAGACTATGGCAATTGTTCACTGCTTTTCCGACTCAAAATTCTTTTCACTCAAATTCTCATAGCATAGTGCCATAGTGGTAGGGGGGGGGGGTAAATGTGCCTACTTAAGGTTGATGTAAATACTAGACTGGGGAAAATGCCCCAGTTGCCCTCCCCCAAATGACGCCACTGGTATGGGGTCCTGGGGCCCAATTGATCCTTAATCAGGGCATGGACATGTTTTAAAAATCCACTCGCTAATCCCCCAAAAAAATAAATTTTTCTAACTATTTCACAAATTGACAACTGCATTTTAAAATTATAAAATGAACAGGTAGGTATATGTAATTTATGTCTATAAAACTACTCATTTGTAGTACAATAAAAGTTAATACCTACTTCATATTACCTCATCAATTTAAATTCAAATTTTCATAATAACTTTTTAAATATATTCAAATTTTCAAAACAACTATTAAATATATTAACAGTACCTATACCTACTTATTTACAACAAATATTGAATAACAGTAAAATACGTCTTTTATACCGTAGTGCTTTTGTAGGCATTTAATATTTATATGTATAGTTGTTTTTGTTGATATAAAAAATGGTTTTTAAAATACAGAAAAACTATTCTTTAAGATCACCGAAAAATGAGTATCGGCTTAAAATTGTTAGGGTCCCTTTCATTTCGGCACTTGAGAGGGCCCCAGGGCTTCAGCACCGGCTAGACCTGCCCTCAATCTGGCCTTGTTAATGCCTTAATGTTAAACACGCACAAAAGTCTTATTAAAGTATTAATTCCTGGGATCTTAAGTAATATAGTTGTTTAATATTTATTATATAAAACTTTCGAAATCGTATAATAAATTTGATTGATTTTGTAAATTTCCTAGCCCCTTGTTTTTGTCATATTATATTGTACATTCATAAGTCATAGATGTCTTACCTATTTTGAGAACGCGAACAATAATACTTGTAATAACTAATAGGTTCGTTACATTTCGTTACGATTCGTTACGATTGCGTTAATTTATTGTTGCACTTGTTCTAGTAACAAGTGTTTACATATCATATTATGTTAGCGGTTAGTCCCACAGATATAGATAATAAATTATTATTATTATTATCTATATCTGTGGGTAGCCCTTATACAAGAACCGCGTTATAGATGATAACTTCTATACCGTGGCCATACGATAATAATGATAATAAAATAATTATTATGGTATCTTACTTCAGGCCCACGGCCCATGCTGAAACGGCAGCTGCAGTCTGCAGTGCTCTCGTCCACATATTATATTTCACGTTTTCACATCAAGGCGGCAAACAATATTTTACAATGTTCGGAATGTTCCGTGTTGACGCTTGTTGCCTTGTTATCGGCGTCTGACTGGTAGTTTGTTCCGACACCGCCCCACCGCTCACCGTCCGAACGGCATTGCCAGTCGCCTGTCACCACGACGACACACGCGTCTGGGCGGTCCGTGTTCGTTGCGTTGACGACACACACGTCTGGGCGGTCAGTACTCAGTGTTCGTTGCGTTGACGACAAGCGACGACGGCGACGCCAACAACAACAACAAGTAACAACAACAACAATAATGATATCTCATACATCGGCGCTGCGCGGCAGCGGTGATAAAATATAAATTGCTGCGCA